GAGTGTAACTGGTTTGACATAAAGGGTTACATCTAGCTTATTAGAGTAGATAGAAACGAATCTTGGAAAGCTTTTTCCAGCGAACGTAAATATGTATGTTCCTGTGGGTACATAATTAACCTGCTTGGTAACTTGATCTTCAACTCTTCTATTTAGTCTTTTAACATTTAAAATTTTTATATTATGTGGGTTTTCTTCATTGGCGATTCTAATTACCTCATTTTCTGGTATATTAACACCTATTCCCTTTACTATACCTTTACAGGATATCAAGCTTTCTGGAATAAAGGTTTCATACTTCAGATCCTTTAAAATCGCATTATTTTTAAAGTCATTTGCCTCTCTATAGGTGTAAAAGGTAACACCTACCCTGTTTATTCCTTTCTTTTCAATTGATTTAATACCTTTTATTTTGTTAGAATGTAAAAGTTTTCCAAAATCAACGGGATGTAGATTTCCTACATTTTGTTCTGAATGTTGCACAAATACTTTGTACGGACCTATATCATTTTTACTATACAGGATATTGCGTGTAACTTGTTCTTTTAATTTATCGGGTGGTATGGCATCTCCTATACTATTTTCTTCCATGTTGGTAGATGGATGCTACGATGCTCCAAACCTTTTTAACAGATACTTTATATTGTTCGAATAAATGAGTTAAATTAAATAAAGCTAGATTACGCAAATATGTTACGAAAAATTAATGAAAAGCTCAAAAATTCAAACAGACAAATCTGACAACTTTTGACAATTTCATGAATAATCAACAATTTTTCTTTCATAAATTAAATTAATAGATATGTGACATTTGTGACAGGCTTCTGAGTCACCTACAGTGAATCAGGTAGTCTGTGTGGCGCTAAGATGGTGATTTCAGAATAGTGGTTGCTCAGGCGCTAGTTTTGGTAACACAGTTTGCTCTTCGACCCTGTAGTACACCAGAGTGTACTCAAGATATTATATATTATAAAGGTCTAGTTTAACCTTAGATAAAAGAAACAACAGATGAAGCATTTCATTCATAACGTAGGTATCCTTGCAAAAGGGAAAGAATATATTTTATGCTGATTGAAAGAAGAGAGACTGTAATCCTAGATATCGCCTGGCAACGCTGCTGTTACACGCAACTAAAAGTCTGTCGATACCAGTGGCGTATCTTATTAAAGATAAAATCGTAACTCCTCGATTTTTGTGCGAAAAAGATTATTAATTTGCAGTAAATACTAATTTTGTGTAAGTTAAATATAAAAAATAAATTATGAAATATTAACCTATATGGTATGCAATAAACTTTATAATCACTTTAAAACCTATTGGATTTGGAATAAGGATACGCAGATGAGTGGACTTAAAACTTAAAAACACTATTTTTTCCGAGAATACTACAATATTTATTACATAAGTTGTTAGTAAGTTGTTAAACAAAATAAAATAAAATAAATAAAATAAAAACAAGATAAATAAATCAAGATTTATTTTAAACAAATTTACGAATACAATTTCGGAGTTAATTTGAACAGTTTTACAATTGGTAATAATGAGAGATTTTTAAATCAAAATTCAGATTTTTAAGACTAATAAATTTATAAAAGTTAATAAATCAATAAATTTACCATATATACAAGGTGGGGATTTTAAATGGAACGCTACTTATAGCGGATCTGCCGTTTTTCTTGAAATATCCAACTTTTTTGTGGTCTCATAATGAATGCGATTATTGAAATAATGTTTTAATATCAGTTTTATCAAATCTAGTGCGTGATTTTCAAAATATCGCCATCAAATATGTAATCTCCAAAAAAATTGAATATGTTAGATTCTAAGGTTTTTACAGTATTTAAAATTAATATATCCAAAACCCTCAAAATGCTCCGAGTATGACACTCATTTTCGGATACCTTCATTTTCTTCAAGACCTACAAGTGATAGCCAAATATTTCTTGTATGCCTATCAGTTGGGAATCTAAAAAGCGAGCATAGGCATATTTATTTTACTACTAAAGTCCAGACTAAAGTGTTTTCATTAAAAACAATTTTTTGTGAAATTAATAACGTTGAAATATCAACGGAAATAAATATTAGTAAAACAAAGGTAGATTTATGCTGCGTTTGAATATCCACATCGGGTGCATCTGAGATGTTGTAAATCTTTGATCACGTGATTCAATAGACGTAAATGTAGTAGAACAGATGTTTGCGATGTGGATAAACAAATGCTCGAGATGTCAACAATGCATCGGATGTGGATATTCAAATGTAGCAAAAACATGTGATATTACGGCAAAAATCTTTAAATCTACACCACTGAAGAATGCAATACATCACCTAACCTTAATTATTTACAAAAAGACACTTCAGCACTCTCATTATCCTGTTTTTTTGCACATAATGCACTCGCAAACCTTGTTGTTAACTATACACTAAAACTATATGCCAAAATATTTCCAAAAAAGTATAAAAATCAACAAAAACACCCGACATGGAACAATTTACTGTAAGGCAACGTCGCAAATTATCGACCGATAAAATACTATACGTGACGAATAGTGTGAATAAGACAAAGTTATTTTTAATTGCGGTGTTGTCACGTTTAACGCTTTTAAAATCCATGCATTTATTTGCAGGCCTATTAATGGTGTTTGCCATAGTTTAACTTAGTATTTGCAAAGTTGTTATTTAGTAGGCATATGTGTGTAAAAACGATAGGTACAAAAATGCCCTGCATAATAGTCTAAAAATAGGTGCTGCTAAAATATCAAGTCTGCTGAAAGCAGTTAAAATAGCTTAATGTACTTTATACACATTTTATACATTTTTTGTTTTGTTACAAGTAATTTTATTCAGAGACTTACTATCAGAAATGTTTCGGGAAATATTGCAACAACTCTGCCCATAATGCGTCGGAGTGGGAAACACTGCACTAGGTACGAAAATAAATTGGTGGGGACGCTTGATGTGTCGCAATATAGCTCGAGACTATCCTAATTAATAAAACTTGTTGCTATTAGTGAGTTATAGGTAAAAACAATGTTTAAATATGAAAGGGATAAATTGGCAACAGCGCACCAGGCAACACAGCAGAGAAATCATCATGGCTGAAGTGACAATGAACTTGTAATATGACTAGTGAAGGATACAATACACATTGCTTAATTTTATAAGCTATATAAATTTAAGGAGTTCTTTAAAATGAATAAAGGACCATAAAGATGCGATATAACAGAAAAATTCTTTATTAAAATTACTTGGTTATAACTAAATTACAATGGCATAAATTAAGTAAGTTGTATATAAATAATTTACATAAATACAAGTAACCTAGAAAGGGTTGTACATGGGCAAATAAAATAAGACAAAACCATATTCTTAAAAAAATTATCAACAAAAGAAAAAGTTTTATTAAGGTAGTAATAGTGGGCATTTTCCGAATAAAAACAAAGTAAAAAATAAGTAACGGTCGACACGTTTTTCTGACTATTGGTCTTCATCAGTACGGTGCAGCCAAGTTCAAAGGATCATGGAACTTGTGTTGAAAAAATTGTACAATAGGAGAGGTCACTAACAAGGAGCCAATAACCCATTTGCGGTTTTAGTCAGTATACCCCTAACTTTTTGGGATTATACTAACGTCACAAAATTATCCGATGGTCTCCCAATGGCTATATCAGACATTCTTTCCTAAAATTGTTTAGTATGCTACAATAAAACATACAAATTATTTGATTTTGTAAATACACAAATATTTGTGAAAACTTACACATGCAGGTACAAAACAACAAGAAATTTTGGAAATCCTGTAAAAATGTAACACAAAACTACAATTGTTTTTTATTAAAATAAAACACTAAAACTAAACTAAAAAATAATGTTTTAAATAAAACATTTTCTAGAAAAACAAAATAAACAACACAACCGATAATAAAATCGATTATAAACATCGAACGCTGATCTTAAATTTATTACTAAACTTGCGCCGATTCTGTCTTGTTAGTAGCGCCAACTTAAAATTTACTAATCATGGCGCCCAATTTTTTTCACGATGCGTTATCTAGACTTTCAGAGAGCTACGGATTTTTTGCATTACCATAGCGAATTATGTCCCGTAACGATTAAATTAAAAAGTTGAAAATAATTTACAGCATTTTCTCTTGACCGACTTCGGTATAATTTTTTTTACGCAGCTGTAGAATAAACAGAGTCTGAGATACAGTCGCTAAGAGTCCTTAATCAGCAATATATAAGTTTATGTATGTGTACTATATGTGTGCTATTTGTGTATTTTTGTACTATTTCTCTATTTTGTGTATTATTTCTATACTTCCTGTACTATTTGTGTACTATGTTTACTATTTGTGTACTATATGAACTATTTGTGTACTATACAGTGTCGGCCTCTGAACATTTTCCAATACGGTTTGCATAAGTGGATGTGATAACAATAGAGAGTTAACATTAACGAATTATGTAAACGTTGTCAGCTTATACGGCCCGGCCAACGTTAAAACGCGGTCTTGAATTTTAACCCCAAAAGCTGAGCTTGTCCGGGGAAGGGACGGTTATTATTATTATTATTTGCCGTGGCGCTCCGGGGCGACTTAAAGATTCCATTTGATTTGAAGGTAAGGAAAATATGGAAAACTCCACCCATCATCATCATCATCGACACGGTAACGCTTGCCGATTTTGAATCTAGATGTCATATCAACAGAAATTAAATTTCTGCTAATACAGCATCCATCAAATCCGAGATCAAATCCTAGATCAAATCCTATAACGAACCATACAACTTAATTAAAAATCCACAGGGTATGCCGTAGGATTCAAAGCCGCTTGTCTTTCAACCACAAACTTGCTTATAAATGGATGCAAGCACGAAAGAAAACTACGCAGATGAGACGATTTTAGAATCTTAGAATTTCAAAATAAATCTTACTTTTACTAAATCGTACTTTTATTTTTTCTTTTCTGATAATAACATTAAACATCAACCTTTTCAGGAGTACTATCGCACTCAGAACCTACAATCGTATCGAGGGAAGGATGGAATGCTCGTCCACCCAAATATATCGAGAAAATGCAGAATCCAGTACCGTTCGTCGTTATACATCACAGCTACATACCGGCAGCTTGCTACAACTTAGAAGACTGCAAAACAGCTATGCAATGGATGCAGGATTTCCATCAAAATAATAGAAGTTGGGCGGACATTGGGTATAGTTTTGCTGTTGGAAGTGATGGAAGGGCCTACGAGGGTAGGGGCTGGAGCAGAGTGGGGGCACATGCGCCTACCTACAACACCAAAAGTATTGGTATTTGCATCATTGGCGATTGGAGAGGTACATTATTTTTTTATATATTTAATACTTAAAGGTAATGCAATATTATCATAATAAAGCAGTATTCTCCGATGTCTGTTTTGGCAATTGCCTTCATCAACCGCTTTTTCATTGCTTTTTGAATGTTCTGTTTACATGTTTGTCTTACTCCACATTTTTTCTATTTGGAGGACAGTAGATATTCTTAGGAGCCTTCTACAGTACATACGTATATTATAATTGAATTTGTTGTAGTTATGATTTATCTTGGTTCTTGTTCTCTTTGTTCTCTTAAAGGTGTGTATACATTTGCGAACAGATCTGTTTATCAACCGTTTGTGAATCGTTTGTGAACCGATTGTAAACCGTTTGTTGTAATTATTTTCACAATGAACTGCAAACAATCCATTGAAAAGGAAGGAACTAACCGCGAACCACTCGGTGCCTATACATCATATTCATGATTTTTTATGGTATTTGTGCGCAGATATGTTCATTCTCTTATTTCCCTTCAAGCATCTTTTAAATTTTCCTAAGATGGTCGTTATGTTTAGGATCCCACAAAAATATAGTTAAGGATAGTTAAGAATTGCCATTTCTTTGTAGAAATATGGCAACATGCTTGCTATCAGCGCCAAATGGGAAGGATTTGTCCAACTATTACTCAGTCGGTAATATAGATACCTGATTTTTTTATTTAATTTAAAAATTTGCTCGATTTTGATTGTCACTCTAATAATATAATTAAAATTTTGCATTTTTATTAGCATTTTTTGCAACACAGACAAGGTGCAAGATGTACCAAAATGTCACATTATTTTAGGAAGGGTAAAATAAAGGCAATATTAAATAATTATATTATCTATTATATTATATGATTAAAATTAATTTGTCTAATTTTGACATATAAAGTGACCTTTCTTGTAATGACAGCAAGTGTCAAAATTATCTACTTTGTGCAACCAATTGCATAATATTGAACATTATGAAACTGGTTTCGAAAAATTCATTACCTATCTCACCAGTTGCGAAAAGAAATAAAACTAAATCTTTTTTGGGTTTTAAAATCAATAGCTTTCTTGTCTTACGATATGAGAAATTATTCCAAATCCTGGAAGAATTAAAATATAAACTTCAGGATGTCCAAAAAATCAAAATAAATGTTGGTATAAAATAGGATCTCCTCCCCCAATTGGGTCAAAGAATGAGGTGTTTAAATTTCGGTCAGTTAATAAGATTGTAATTGCTCCAGCTAATACTGGATTATTGAAAGTTTAGGTATATCAAAGAAGGGCAGGTTGACTTATAAATATAGAATTTAGTTAAATTTAGAAACTAGTAATAATGTTTTGGTTCTTATTTTCCATTCTAAATCAGCATAAAATAATTAAAACGCATTAACGACCAAATAACCCACTTTCTTGAAATCTAAATAACTTTTAGCGATATAAACACACTACAACAAGTTGTTGAGAATAAATTAATATTATGTACTATTTGTCAATAAAATTATTAATTAATCATATGCAACTAACAATACAAGAAAGTAGTAATATTGGTTGCCTAGATGTCAGTAATTTTTTAACCAGCTATATGTTATATGCCCTTTGGAGGAAATTTATAGAAGGTGTCTATAAGTATCAGTGTTGCCAGGAGTCTTAGTACTTTACTTTGTGTCCATTTTAATCTTTTTTATTTTTGCACCGGCGGAGATCCGGGTAACGAGTATCATAATTTTGCAAAAATAAATAATACGGGCCTGTTTAGCATTGATAATTTTTATCTAACGTAAAAATTAACTTCAAGTAAAGTACTAAAACTTATGTGTACCAGATATCACTGGAATATCGTTTTCCACTAATTAACAATAAAAGAAAACGCAAAAAATTTAATTTTTTCAACTCCCTATGTATTTCGAAAACGAAGCGACATTCTAAAAAATGTTATACCTTAAAATTATGTCTTAAAATTAGGTGAGCATTCTCCTTCTTCCTTTTGTCACCTTGTATATGTGATTGAGTGTCAAAAACGTTTAAATTTCGAAACTGAAATACAGGTTTTTAGAAAAAATTTTAATTACTATTCTGTTAAAAATATACCGTTAGTTTGTCAAGGGAAATATTTAAGATCCACAAGGTTAAACTATTAAAATAGTGGTTTTGCTTTTTTTCTTAAGAATTACTATAATCTAAAACCATTCTGGTCTGTTTTAGAATTTTATTTAGGTACTGCAATATGTAGTTTTAAATAAAATTTTGGTAGAACAGTGTATACCTAATTTATAACAGCGACCTATTTACTATAGTTTTTTTTTTACAAATATACAGTTAGTGACTTGTTCTTGTGGATGAGTTCAAGTATGTCCAAAATCGTTACTTTATAATATGAATTAATTTACATTTATTTAAAAATGGTTTTTTCACACTTATAATAAAAATATCAAAATTATGTATATTGGCCATTCACTCCACACACAAATTCATAGACAAAATACATATCACTATTTGACATTCTTATTAAACTCACTAATTTAAAATTGACTTTAAACGTGACTACAAACAGAGTTGTTTGAAAGTATACAGAGTGGAAAGTCTAACTGGAACTAATTCTGTAACTTGATAAGTAAAGGTTTGTCGCAAAATTCCTGAAACACGTCAATTTTTATTTTCAATGGGGCATATCATAAAGAGATTTGTTTATATTTTTAATTATCTGGGGAGTTGCAGACACCCAGAACTTTTTTTTAAATGGAAGGGTAGGTTGATTAATTTTTTATTTGAAAGCTTTTTCAATTACATATAAAATTACATTTTTTTTGTTACTTTTTATTAAAATTGTCGGAAAAATTAAATAAGGAAATATGTGAATGTGATTGATTTGTTAGTACTTATTTGCATTTCAACGTGTACATTAAAAATGAAAAATAAGAAAATGCCCTATTTAACCGAGACGCATCGTATCGAATTTTAATGATGATCGGATATGGGGACAAAAGTCGAACACAGGCTGAAGTCGCTCGTTTGTTTACTGAAGTTCATCCAGAATTCTCTTCATTTAGTTAAAGTACGATTAGCAAAATTGAAACTCGATATCGTGAGTTGGGCCACGTAAGGGATGCTCCTTGACAAATCTTTTAAAAATCGACGAAGAAGCCCAGTTGAACATATTGTTGGAAGTTGAAGAAAATCCTGTTACTCCAGCTAGGCAAATAGCTCGCGTTCATGGTGTCCGTCACACAAGCGTTTTAAAAATTCTTAAAGAAACCAAAAAGCACCCATATAAGATGCAAAACCTGCACGAGCTTAACGAAGATGATCCTGATTGTAGACTTGACTTTTGCGAACGAATTATGGCTTCTATCGATGGTGGAAAAATTACTTTGGGTGCTGTTTTCTGATGAAGCTACGTTCGCATTACATGGGCACGTCAATCGGCAGAACTGCCGTTATTGGGCTGCCGAAAATCCCCGTTGGATGCGTGACTGCCATACCCCCAGACCTCAAAAAAAAAACGACTGGGCTGGAATTATTGGAGATCGCATAGTAGGTCCTTTTTTTTAATGGAAACGTAATTGGAGAAACATATCTTACTATGCTCCAAAAAGAACAGATTCTTATTTTAGTGACTTTATTCCTCAATATTTTGGATCCCAACTTATTTGACCAACGGATGTGATTTCAACAAGACGGAACACCATCACATTTAGTTCAAAATGTACGGACCTATCTTAACGAAGTGTTTCCAAATAGGTGAATTGGAGGAAGGGGCCCAATTGAGTGGCCAGCAAGATCGCCCCATCTTATGACACTAAACCAACGACATCGCCGAGCTTCACCAAAGAATCAGGGACGAAATTAGGCAAGTAACGCCGGAAGTGTTACAAAATGTTCGGAATGCTATTTATAATCGATTAGGATATTGTCAGCAACAAGGTGGAGAGCACTTTGAACATTTATTGCATTAAAGTAGTTTCAGTAAATATTTCCTTATTTCATTTTTTCCGACACATTGCTTAAAAAAAGTAACAAAAAAATGTATTTGTAATTGAAAAAGCTTTCAAATAAAAAATTAATCAACATACCTTTCCATTTAAAAAAAAAGTTGAAGGTGTCTGCAACCCCCAGATAATTAAAAAGATAAACAAATCTCTTTGTAATATGCCCAATTGAAAATAAAAATTGACGCGTTTCAGGGAATTTTGCGACAAACCTTTATTTATCAAGTTACAGAATTTGTTCCAGTTAGACTTTCCACTCTGTTTAAAGTATAATGAATTAAGTGGTTACGGATTGTTAATTAAAATATGCAGGCCACATAATGAAGTGGAGAGGGGTAGAATGATAACTGTCAATGAAAAGTCTAGACACTATGCACAATTTCGTTTTGCACATTTTGTAAACAAGATTCAGGGACGGTTTAACAACATTTTGTGCAACAACTATAAAATAGTGCATCGGAAAATAATTAACAAGTATAATTTAATACTAAATTGAAATAAAAGCACAAAAAATCACAAATATACGCAAGATAACAAAGAAGTGATGCCAAAAAAGCTTACAACAGCCACAAAACAAACAAAGAACAGAGCTGAACATGAACATAATCGCTGAACAGAGCCAATCCTGGAATTTGTTTACAGTGCTTTAGGGCAACCTCTCCTTGTCATTTACATGTATAAGAGTGCAAGGTTGAATCACGCATAATTTCTACACTCGTAATGGGTGCGCAGACGGTACTTTATCGTTCTACCCTCTCTACTTCTTTGAGGCCACATAGCAGGACCTCGTGAGTCGCAAAAACATTTTTCAGAAGATGAAAAAACTAATTCACAAGTGCATAGGATCCATTTTACTCTATAATGGAACTAATATTTACCCATGTTTTGTTCAAAAACTGTAATACTTCCCCCTTTCCCTATACAGTAGACGAAGCGAAATCTTTTAAACGAGATTATCATAAATTATTATTTCTAGTGGAAATGTTGGTTACGAGGTCCTGCGTAGTGGCCCTCGATATTTAGAATAATATCTGTTTGTAACATGTATAACAAGCTAGTTTTAAATAGACGGATAAAAAGTGTTGCCTTTTATTTAAAACTATAATAAGAACCTATTGAAAAGTATAAGATCAATAGAACATATTTCCACAATTTCTATAGGTACATATATATTTTTTGATACCTGATTATCAATCAAAAAATATTTTTTTTGGTGTGGGGACAGGTTCATTAATATACAACAACAATTTTGTTACAAATATTATAATAAAATATTTATAATTATTATAATAGTTGATATAGATCCTTTAAAAATAATATACAGGGTGTCCCAATGAAAAGTAGCCGGTTTCCATTTGATAAAATTTGGTTAGGGTGAATTTAAAAGAGGAGATTTTTAAAAAACACCCTGTATAGGTAATACACAATTTCTGTGCCACTGAAGCAAAACTTATAGCAAAATAACACATATCAGCAAAACCGCACGTTTCTACGATTGTTTAAAAGTTATAAGCTCTGGAAATGGACTACTTTTCATTGGGACACCCTGTATTTTCACGAAAATATATTAAACATAAATCAGTTTGATGCAATGTATTTTCTTTTTTTAACACACCTTTTTAGCTTTATTACTTCTAGTACTCTATTTATTCCAGTGTCCTCAAATAAAACAAGCAATAACACGTAACAATAAGGATAGAACACACACTAAGGGATAATTGTGATATTTTTGATCTAAATCAACGATAAAAATCACAAATTTTCCGTTTTTAAGATGTGAATGTAATTTAAAAACTACTTCGATAAAATGTAATCAAAAGTTTGTAGTTTCTATACGAAATATGACTTGTCTGCGCATGCTAGCTTCTTTTTAACCGGGTTTATGACAAGTGATAGAATATATCACGGAAACGTCAGCGCAATAAGATATGCGCATCTTTTTCTCGCCCAGGGAGTGACAATACTGATTAAATACCTATACTGGGATTAAAGTCTTTTTACAACTTTAGTTTAGTGTTACTGATTTTTTTTTTAAATATCTTATTGTTATCATTATATTATTGTATATTTCCGTTTCTTGGTTAGACGTAAACCTGTTGAATCGGAATAATATGTGAAAATAAAATAAATATTCAGTATATCAAAATTAAATAATACTGTCTTACATTTTTTCAGAGGAACTCCCACCAGAAAAACAACTTACAACTGTACAACAACTAATCACAAAAGGAATAAGAGAAGGATACATAATGAATGACTATAAATTAGTTGGTCACAAGCAAGTTAGAGAAGGAACGGAATGTCCAGGTGACAGATTATTCAAGGAAATTAAAAACTGGCCAAATTACTGTCAAGACCCTTCTGCACCAAACAATATTAAAATTGTAGCTGAAGACACACAAATAGATGACAATAGGTTGAAGAGAAAAACGTAATATATGATGTAATTTATATTTTAATAAAATTTATTTTCCTATTACTAGCCATGTAACTTGCTTTTAACGTCTGCCAAAGTCAAGAAAGTTTTACTTACTGCCTTGGTAAGATTAAAAATAGTTTTTTTCTAATTTTCACATATAATGTTACAACATCTTTTGTAATCGCAGCGAGTGTTAGAATGATCTGCCTTATGTGACCAGTTTTAGATAGGCCTTGTGGACATCCTCTGGTTATGCATATGGAGATGGTATCTGTGTCTCTATGCATCCATGTGAATTTGGTGATATCTACTTCTGGGGATGCGAGTGCTCTTTTGATAGATTCGTATTGCATTTTATTAAACGCCTCTTCTATATAAATGAAGCACTTTTTTTTGTCAGAGCATTCTGGTACGCCTGCTGACTATGGTTTCTATTCTGATATAATTATCAATATACCTCTCTATTGTATTGAATGCAAAGGATGTAAAGCTAATTGGTCCGAAGGATTTAGGATGTGTGGTATCCTTTTTTCTTACTATTGGAATAAAGGTGATTCTGGTCTTTCTCCATGGTTCTGGTATATATTCAAGTTTCAGACTCCTCCAGGATTACATGTGGCAATTTTTCCTGAGCCTACTGAAGCAGGCCAGGAAATATTCTATCCACGCCTGGAGACTTAAAAGTGTTCATTTAATAAAGTCGGAATTTTTCTCAGATAAACATAACACTTCTTATCCTAGTCATTTATAGAAAATTAATTTATAGTTTATTTATTTAAAACGCTTTATTTTTAATTTATTTATAACGTACTAATTAATTTATATAATATTTAGGCATTAACTCACAATTCTAATTTATTTATTACAAATTGTCTTAACTGTACAACACTTAAATTGAATCTTATCTTCTATCGGTAAACTGGTACTATTTATACAAAGCGAACTCTATACCAGTAGTGGGCTGGAATATCACCCTGTCTTCCTCCATTTTCCGAACACTCTCCTTTCAGCTTCCTCTCTCTTGGCCTTTGGTAATCTTCGAGCTGATTTTCGAATCGGCGTGGTGTCACCAATGTCAATTTTGTATTTTACAACAGAAGTTCTTCCTGTTTTTTCTTCTTTTGGTACAAAAATATCACGATATCGTCGAAGATCCTTTATTTTCTTTTTTCTAAAGCTGCTCCCTCTAACCCGACCCGTTCTAGTTTTCCTGCGGCGTGTTGTCTTCATTTGTTGAGACCCTAGAGCATCTGCACGAACCGCGTACATGTCCCAGTTCACCGCAATTCCAGCACCTGATGATTTTTGTTTTCATCTTCTTATCAGTAAGACTCTTCATCAGGTTAACCAATTGGTCGAGTTTATCTTTCTCTTCTTCCCCTTTTAGTGTCCTTACTTTACTGTATCCATCAGAAGCATGTCTAGCTACCTCATACTCTAAAACAAAATATCGACCAATGTCTTGTGGCGGGCTAAGCGGAGTGTTTTCTGCATCTCAAGGTCACGGAGTCCATCAACAAATGTTGACCGCCAAACATTCCATCATGTTTTCTGGAGCTGATGAGTAGGCAAATCGTACCAATCTGGCAATATCTACTTCATACTTTTATAGAGTCTCGTACCGTTTCAGCTTGCGATTCTTTAACCGTGACTGGTATAAAGTGTTCGTGGCCATTTCACATGTTTAGTCACTTTTTGAGTTGTTCAAAGTTATCGGTCTCTTCCACGGGTATAGTCTGAAGAACATCTAAAGCGTCTCCTCGAAGGGCGATGGTCAAATTAACTGCCTTTTCTCTTTCAGACCATTCGTTCGCTCTCGCAGCTATTTCGAACTGTTTAAGGTAGTTGGTCTATGACATTTTCCCGTCGAAAGTTGGAGCTTTAACAAGAGCAGAGTTTACAGTTTCTTCTAATTTCAATTTTGACTCCACCTTATGATACTTTATTTCACTGATCTGTATGTTTCAGTTCTTTTATCTTCTTTTCCATCTGTTTTATTTTCTTCTCCACAGAAGACATCTTATTTCCCACATCAACAGAGATTTAATTTTTTATAGAAGACATTTTGTATTCCAAGTCGGAAGAAATTTCGATTTTTAAAGAAGATATGTCAGAAGACAGATTTTCTTCTGAGGAAAAAACTTTAATATCTAAGGGAGGAACTGTCTGAAGAAACTTTACTTTCTAAAAAAGAAATATCATTTTTTTATGGAGGTAAGATCTGAAGAAACTTTATTTTCCATGGGAGACACTTTATTATCTAAAGAATGAATTTCAGAAGAAACTTTAGTTTCCATGGACGGAAATTTACTATCTAATGAAAAAATATCAGAAGAAATATCAGTTTTTTCATATCGGAAATTGAAGAAATTATAGAAGACGCATCATACGAAAATAGATAAGTTCTGAATCCAAATCTTCATTTTCTAGTGCCTTTTTTACGTTTTTCTGCCAGCTCTGATTTTTCCCTGACGTCTTCAGTTCACGTTCTTTTAATTCTCGGCGCAATTCATCTACTTTCAAATCACACAGTTTTTTTAGCCATTTTTGTCTACTAGTTATTTACAGTTCCACTTCTAACACCAATGTAACGATTGTTTAATTTATTTATAGTTTATTTGTTTAAAACACTTTATTTATAACGTATTAATTAATTAATATAATACTAGGCACTAACTCACAATTCTAATTTATTTATTACAATTTGTCTTTACTGTCTAACACTTAAATTAAATCTTATCCTCTATCGGCAAACTGGCACTATTTATACAAATCCATACTTTGATTACTATACGGCGCAAGAGAGAGGTCCGACACGCCCAACATAGGGCGCGGCCATTTTGATTCTTATGCCACAGTTTATACCTAAAGAATTAGATCGCTCACTCTGCGTCGGCACTTTTGATCTCAATGTTCCAGTTTATACACTGCGCAACTCGGATAATACAATATATGACAACCGCCTATAATAAAACAGCAGTCTTCTGCGTATCCTTAATTTGTATCCCTGGAGTTGATGTTATTTTGGAACTTTCAACTGGTCCGAGTGAGCTAACTGATTCTTTAGCAATAAACTGTGACACCAAAAATAATATTCACTGACACTGACAGCAGCAAGCAAAATATCAGGTGCGTTTTAAGCTACCGCTTCTGCTTCCGGAATTGTCGGCTTAGTCGTTTTCACCTGTCAGATTAAAACAAGAAAATCGACAATTCCGAAGCAGAAGCGGATGATTAAAACGCATCTATTAAAAATATTGCGCCAAGTTGTAGGCAACACGTAATAAGGGATCAAAATGGCGGCGTTTTCTATCAGTGCGACCATTCTCCGTATTGGCGATTCAAATTAATTTTCGCGCGCCTGTCATTTGTCATCTATAAGTAGGATGTTTGTTTATTTACATGTTTTTGTTTTGGGCGGATTTTGTATTTGTGATTTTTTAAACTGTTTTTAGATAATATTCTCATTGTAATAGTGTTTTTGAGTTTCATTTAGTGTTAATTTAAGTCTCGTGCTTTTGTCATAAATATAATATTTATCATATGTATGACTTAATTTGTTGGAAATATTCACCTATTGGTTGCTACAAGAACATCTAGAAATATGTATTCACTAAACCCAGGACATGTTTTATTATGTGGTTTAAAGGACATTTCAGGTACCACACGTTTATTATTGATGAACTTATTTAAAAATCTTACTAGACTTATTCTTATATTATGAAGTGAATCATGTAGTACTTTGTATACATGTAAATGGTAATAAAACCATCAAAAAATAAGATTACAGTTTGATTCTAAACAAAGTTTTGTAAAATTTCAATATTGTGAATTTCTAGATATCGTATTTATCGTAAAAAACAAAAATTTTACGACTTGTACTTCAGTTTTGATTTTGACATTAACACCATATAGATTGCAATTTTCTGGGGACTTTTTCGCAGATTTCATTTTTAATATAAACACCATCACATGCTATAAGAAATAAACAAATTTAAAGCTAAAAAGTAAGAAAAAAACTTGAATTGTAATTGATACAAATTAAAATGTAAACAATGAACACGAACGCCAATGTTGCCAAATTATGAACTGATTTTAAAACAAAATTAATAAATAAACTGACATTTAAAAAAAATCAATATAATAAATCGGTTTTATAAAAAAATCCTTATATAAATATAGAGTATGATAACATATTACCATACACAAATTTTGATTCTTAAATAAAAGATTTTATCCACTTCTTCAAGAGCTAAAATCCGACGACGTAGCGAAGTTTTGCTACTTCTGGCAACACTGAACGATATCCTACTTATACGGACCTTCTACAAATTTCCTCCAGAGGGCGTATCACTTAGCTTGAATCGCGAATAGTAAAAGAAAATCAAAGTATGTGCACTGGACGCTATCGCACGTTGTAACTGATATTCGTATATCTGAAACGGAATGATAATGATATGGCATTAGTCAGGCAACTTGTAATACGTTCGTGTACCTATTTAGTATTTTGGTATTAGGATTAGATTTCGTTTTTCGTTTGAAGTTTTAACTATCTTGCTTGTTATTTTTTTTAGGAATTATAGTGTTTATAAGGCAGAAGAATACGAACTAGTGACATTTTAAAACTTATTCAGAGTAATTGTAATTGTACTGTAGGATGCTTTCTTAGAAGGTATTTTTTTAAATGAGACACTGTGATTGTGTAAGAAACTCAGATAAACAAATGAAATATAGATGTGTTACGGGCGCAGTTTTACATAGGCTTTGTTTGAAGCCAGTATCTACGAACTTTTGACAGCCGTGGTCCCCATGGGCGTATCAAATAGTTTTTTCATCAGAACCCAAAGCATTCTTTTGTAAATATTTTGTCAATAACAAATTTAAAGAACAATGCAACTCATGCATAAAATTTCATTTTACAAAAATTAAATTCTATTTTTTATTCAAATGTAATAAATGATACTTATAATTCAAATAATTACACTGTTAATATCGTTTATAGGTATAGATATCAGTAAACTGTATATATAAAATAAAAAGTAAGCCAAACTGAATTTACCCATT